CAAGACACACTGTGTGTCATGGTGTTTTGAGGTCTGTCCCTACCCAAAGGGGGGCAGTTATCTCCGATGCAGCTTCATACCTCAGAACTGGGAGGGATGGCCAGAGCTGGATGTGGCTGTGTGTGTCCTATCCACAGTGAGGAGAGCACCTGGTGATCCAATCTGGATGGCACCAAAGGTGCCTACACTGGCTGTACCTAGGGAGTTTGGGTGGGTGTCCTGTCCTGCTCTCTGTAACACTGCAGCCTCTCCCTGACCAAGACAGAACTGCCCCTCATCTAGTTCTTGTGTACAACCTGAGCCCTGACTGTCTTGGTCAGAGCCTGGTACTGCTGAGGCTGCATTGAGCTCAGCCATATCTTACACAGTAGTACCTTATGTGCTCAAGCCTTCAGTAACAAGGTGCAGGGACACGGATGACCTTGTTGGATCCGCTTGTCAAATGTGATGTCAGCAAGAGGCTGGCTTGGTGCTGCACGAAGTGCAAGGACTCTGTTTGTTGCTCTGACATGGTGCCTCATTCCAGCCAGGTGTGGGTGCGAGGTCCATGACAGGTTGGCAAGGACGTGGCTGTGCCACCCATGGGAGCTGTCCCTGCAGGAAGGTGACACACAGCCACCATCACCTATTAACGTCACCAGGAGTCTTGTACAGAGGTCAGCAGAGGTTGAATAGTTGGTGCCACTAGGAAGGTGCTAAAGGCTGCTCAGCACAGGAGCATCATCCTCTTCCTCAGCCACAAAACCTATGTATCATGTCAGTGCTTGTCTAGAAAGCATGAATATTTCTTGCAGTGGAACAGCGTGTCCTGTGGGTCTTGTAGTCTCCCATATTTCTCTTTTAAAAGCTCAAGTCTTAAAGCATGTGGCAGATTCATGTCCCAGATGCATTTGTGGGTGTCATCAGGTTTGAGGATAATACTGTGCCTCTTCCACTTCATATCCCTCTTGAGCCCACTTGCTTCCAAGTGAGTGTTTGTGGTGAGTTTAGGATGAGGATAACTTTGCTCCTGACAGCTCACTTCCATGAAACCAGTATTTGGGGAGTACAGGTCATTCTTTTGCAGTGTCTGGCATTTGTCTTATCTCTTGTTGAATTTTGCTCTCTAATAACATTGGCCTGCCATGCTTATCTAATAATTAGCAAATTACAGCTGTAATTACTCTGTTTTTCAGCTATTGAGATTAATAGAGTGAACTTAAATTATCACCCTTTAATGGACTGATAAATAATCCTGGACAAAGTCACTGCTAAGGGTTTTACAATGATGCAACTTTACCAGCTGCCTGATTATCTATTAACATCTGCTGGAAACCATCACAGTAAAAGGTGCAGTTGGTGTTACTTTTACCATGGTGTTAGGACTGATTTTGTTCATTGTATGTGTTTTTAAAAAGACCCTAAAACCACCTAATACAAAAATTCCCTCAAGTGTCTTAGTTTGGATGTTTCTTTTTATGCCATCTAATCAGCAAACTGAGCAGTTAACTGTTCTGCCATGGTCTGCTGAGCAACCTGTAATAGAGAGATTGTGTTGGGTTGACTGTGGCTGCAAATACTGTGAATGTTTGGTTAACTTTTTCCTCCTAATTTCACTAAATTGAAAATAATGAGACTTGATCCTGGAATGGAACATACTTGTTTGAGTACCTCATTTTGTGTTTGAATTTATTTTTCAAGCTTATTAAATCTCAAAGAAAACATTACAATATTTTCAGACAAGTCAAGCCAGAGTCCTTAAAACTTCTCCTTTTTCAAAATCTGAACCAGCTTGCTGATATCTGCACTAATGAGTCATGTGCTGTGGTTGAGCTAAAACTTTTTTTGCATAAAAATGGAAAGCGCTGGGTTTGCTCCGATGGCCTTGCTGGGGGCTGTCTGTGCTGAGGACGCACAATTTACAGCCAGTTACATCTTTTGAACTCATCCCTCTGGCTTTCAACAGCTCTAAAGGTTTTACTGAATTACCCTCTGTGTTTTTGATGTGCTGGCAGGAGGTCAGTGGAGGTGCAGAAGGACTGAAGAGTGGCTGCACAAAGGTGGTCCTGAGGGTCCTTGCTGCACCTGGGGGAATAGCAGAGCTCCTGGCCCAGGAAAGCATTGGAGAGCTCTTCTGCTTTCTTATTCTTCATCAGAACAAGCATTACCATGTCTGGGTTTGCTGTGAGAAGGGAAGGTATCAACCTGGTCTAGTGGGTAGCTTCCTTGCCCATGGTGGGGGGAGTGGAACTGGGTGATCTCTAAGCTCCTTTCCAACCCAGACTTTTCTGTGATTTTATGATCACTGATCCTGGAATGGGTTGAAGGCTCCTCTCCAGTGCTGGTGCAGCCTGTGGTGCTGTTCAGGTTCTGGACCAAGTGTTGAGCTCCCCATTTAATTTGTGTACTTACACTTCCTCCAAATAAACCAGAGAGTTTGGGGTGGGAGACCACATGTGTGTGGAGCTCTGTGTGCCAAGGAGCAGAGCCCTGGATCCTGCATTCACCTTATTTCTGCTTGCTCAGGCATCATCTCCTGGAGCCACAGTGCAGAGAAAACTCTTTCATCTTTATCTGGGTACTTTCCTTGGCTTAAGGCAAGGTCATGTCACCCACTTGTATCTGGAAAACTCTTGTGCTTTGTTTACCCAAAACAAACATGCAGGAAGAGAGCTGAAATGTAATCTGTAGTGAGTAGCCTCCCACTGCAGGCTGGGGCTGATGAGCTGCTGCCTTGTGCCTCTGCTGATTGTATCCTTATGTAGAGCTTTGTAGGCACACCTTTCCATCTTCTCTTGAATGTCTTGTGACCATCTAAACAGGGTAGGTTAGTTCTCAGCTGCAGAAAATGACACTCTCAAGCACTGATCTAGAGGAAACCCAAAACTTTTTTGGTTGAACAGCATTACACAAAGGTTTCTTATAACTTGGTTTAAGTCCCTCTAGACCCAAAGAAATGCTGGCAGGGGAGGAAGAGCCTGTTGCTGGTGTGGGAGAGAAACCTTGCTGCTTTGCAAGCATCTTGCCTGCAGAAGTAGCAGGAGGTGACTCGCGTGAATGAAGGACGCTACAGAATATGCTTTCTCATTGATGGAAATGTCCCATTGGGATGATCTTGCAGGAAACACTTGAGAAGTGTTTGGACTGAGAAGACCTCAATAGGTTCAGGTTGCTTGGGTTTTAAATCCAGTGTGAGCAAGTTTTAAGCCTGTAACTCCATCAGAAAGTCACAAGCGCAGTTGAATACCTCAAGGAGGAGAGACTGCATGGTTTTGAAATAGGAACTGGAGCTCCACAGTGGAAAACGTGCCAGGCGTCCACATCTGGCAAAGCAGATCTTGTCTGTAGTCTGTTATTTTATCTGCTGCTTCATAGGACATCTAGTCCTCATAAGCAGGATTGTGTAACTTGAGGTGGGGGAAAGATCAGGTTTTGTCGCTTTTAAATCTTCATCCCTGTAGATTCAGATTGTATCTTAAGGGCAGGATAAGAAACAGGGATATGTTTTTACACGCTGAATCTGTTGGGATATTCATGATCCCTGGGCCAGCTGATTGCAGTGGTGCAGGTTCAGAAGCTCAAGCTGTACTGAGCCTGACACCTGCGGTTTATGTCCCACCAGTGCACGTTTCAGTGGCAGCTTCATCCTGTGGAGATGGCACTGAACCCCAGCAGGGAGGGGTGTCTCTGCCTGCAGAGTGGGTGTGCAGGGCTGTGGGAGGAGGTGGGCATGGGAGCAAGCTCCTGGGCATCAGTGCATGCCCCAGAGATGGGCATTGCCAGCCGTGTGCCGGGAGCTGGGCCAGCAGCAGTGAGCTCATGTCAGCTGCTCTTGGATGCTTCCAAGGAGAGCAGAAGGATCTAAAGGTGGACAGTTAACACATTGCCCTGCTTGCAGCGACCATTTCCTCATTTTCCTCCCAGCTCCTCATAGTTATTGTTTGATACACACCCTGACGCCAAGGGTTCGTGGGTTTTAATTAGTAACCCTGGGCAGTTTAGTTATCCATGCAAATATCCAGTCCTCTTCTGAATCCTACTCAGCTCTTACCCTCAGCACCTTGCAGCAATCATCCACGCAGGAAAACGTGGATGGTTATAACTAATAAGAATTTCATGTATTAAGTTGCTGCTCTACAGTTTCTTTAAAAAAATAAATAATAACATTAAATAGCATTTTGTAGGCTATTCCATTACCTAAAAGAAAACAGTTCTGGAAAGATTAGTATCTTTTTTTACAGCTAATATTTTCCTTCCCAGTTCAACTTCCAAGTCACATTTATCATATTTCTCCCAAAGCCCCAGCTGGCTAATGGAAAAAGCTCACTTTTGCTTTTCTTGGGCTCTTTCTCCAAAATCCAATGTTCCAGCAATGATTGGAAAACAGGGTTTCAGAGTGGAGAGATGTGAGTTACTGTCGTGTTTTTAATGAGTCAAAATTGAAGTGTTTTATTTTGAAACCAGCTTGTTAGCTCTACAGGGAAACTCTTATTCTTGCTCTTTTTTTTACAGCACCTTGTACCATGGGACTGACCCCTTGTGTAGGATTAGAGAGACTGTAAGCTCTGATAATACCAAGTAATTAACAACCCATCAGGAGCTGGTTCTTGGAGGTGAAATCAAAGTTTTTGTGTAGTGACTCTTAGCAAATTAAATGATGTTTGGCTTCCTGTGACTTCCAAGGAGGAGCAAGCTGGAAAGTGAAGGTGTTTGGGGTTTGGTTTTTTTCACTCTTCCTGAACTCTAAACCATGCACGCTAAGTAAAGATTGGGCAGTTTCTGAGAATTACTGGAAACAGTAAATCTCTGAAGATTCATTAAATGTGTAAGCTATAAGATAATATTTAGACAATATTTAGATGGTGAAAAATAAACTTTATTATGATTATGTTTAAAAAAATGTTTGTGTGTTTCCTTGTCATGACTTTGTCCCTGTATTGCCTGCATTTATGCCCTTGTGAGCTTAGAGCTGCAACAAAAGTGCAGAGATAAGAGTACCTGACCCATTTCTCTTATTGCAGGTGGAGCTTCATGTCCACCTGGATGGAGCCATTAGACCAGAGACAATCTTGTACTTCGGCAGGTGAGTTGGGGGGGAAGAAAGCTCTGGGAGCTGCAGCTCAAAAGCATCATCCTTTCTGCTTGTTCTGTTCTGCAGCAGAATTGCTCCTGCAGGCAGCAAACCTGGCTGGTGCTGCCTCTGCCTCTGCCCAGATGGGTCCTCTGGCTGCACACTGCAAGGAATGAGCATATCCCAAAGGGCTGCACAGGTAGCAGCAATGTGATGAGGTTGCCATAGGTTTCTCAGCTGGGGAAGCTAAGAGGAGCCACCATGAGAAGCCCAGAAGATGTCTCATAAACATCTGCCTGCCTTTGAAGTGTAGCTGGGACGCGGCAGAGTCGCTGTATTCTCATTTCTTTTTCCACGTTCCTGTTTGCAAAAGCAAGTGAAATGGCAGCAGGCTGGGAGTGTTGTCTTGGTGCTGCTGCCATTCCACAGCTGGGGAGGAAAAAACAGCTTGGGTGCCCTTCTCTGCCCTGCTGCCATGTGCCTTTGAACCCCAGGCTGTCTGCCTGATGTCAGCAGTCAAGGAGTCACGCTCGTGTGTGGGTGACCCAGGGAAGCACTTGGCAGTGACTTAGAGAGAGGTTGTTTCCTTGACAGAGCTCACGTGCATCTTCTTCCTTCAGCGTGGATTGTTTGGGAAGGAGTGGGGTGAATGATTAACTGGCATGAGGGCCTGGCTCCATGCTTGTAAGCAAAATAAACAACATTTCTTCCAGCTGTCACTGATACCCTCAGATCGAGAGCGTAGCAAGCTTAAAGTTTCAGGAAACAGCTCTTAGGCACAACTCTGGTGCTTTGGGGAGGAAGTCAGTTCTGAAGAGGATGAGAAGTGGTTCTGGCATCCCAGCAGGCTCCAAAGCAGTACAGTCCTAAGGGGGAAATAGTCTTTCTAAAGTAGCTTTTTCTGCAGGGCATGGCCATACTTGTTGTCCTGTTGTGAGTGCAAGGAGGGTGGATCAGAACTCTCCATCCTATTCCTTGCAGGACATTGGCACAGCGAGCAATGTGCCCTGGTGGCCTGCAGGGCTGGAATACAAGCCCAAAGGGACAGAAGAGTTGGTGCTGACTCCCTGGGGCTCTTCTGTGTCCCTCTGCCAGCATAGAGAAAATGTCAGTGTCCTCCCTTAGCAGAGTTGTAGGAGCCCTGAAGCCCAGGAGGTACTGGCTGTCTGGGGATCATATGCCAGGATCCTTGCTTAGGGCAGAAACCTTCGTTGCTGAATGTGTGCCGAGTTCCCCCTTATTTTTAAACAGTCTTGGCATCCCCTAGAGCTGCCAGCCCTGGGGTGGAGGAAGGCTGTGCTATTCATGGGCTCTAAAACTTGTGCTCACACACAAAAAAAGCAATGGGACAGTAAAGGAGGCTGTAGGGCACTGACTGCCTTAATAACCTCACCGTGGGCACAGAAAGCTGCTTGTGGTCTATTTTTAAAGGTAAAGAGCTGGAAATAAATTTGCCAGGTGGTGACTGACCATGTACATATAACCCCAAGATGCTGGGATGCACCATGGGCTCTAAAACTTGTGCTCACACACAAAAAAAGCAATGGGACAGTAAAGGAGGCTGTAGGGCACTGACTGCCTTAATAACCTCACCGTGGGCACAGAAAGCTGCTTGTGGTCTATTTTTAAAGGTAAAGAGCTGGAAATAAATTTGCCAGGTGGTGACTGACCATGTACATATAACCCCAAGATGCTGGGATGCACCCCCTGGTTTTTTTAACCCAGATGTTTTTATAGACTTTGGCTCCAATTCTGTCAGGTCTGGGTCAGGTTTTGCATCCCTCTGCCCAGCCAAAGAGTTTAGAGCTGTGTCAGACCCCTCATGGGACTGGGTGCCCCAAGGAGAGGTGCCCTTTCCATGGTGGGATGGTGTGTGTGGTGCTGCCCATGGCTGGAGGTAGCTCTGGGCAGGACACCAAGGTGCCAGTGGGCACAAAGCTTGTTTCCCTGGGACAGCTTTGCTTTAGGAACGATCCCACCTACCAGGAAGGTTGGATGGGGCAGCAGTAGTTCCCAAAGCCACACTGGCATGATCCCCTAGACCTCCTCATCCAGTGACCTGACTCCAGTGTGGATCATCCCAAAGCACTGCTGCTACTCATGTAGAGGCAATCCTTGGGGAGGCACATGAAAGAGGTCAGGGAAGTGGCTTTGCTGGAGGGAGCTTTCCCTGGGCAGGTGTAGGAAGGTGCACACTGGTTTCTGGAGCAGAGACTGATGTGTCAGTGCCATGGAAAGGGCAAGGCAGGGAGGAAAACCGATGCCTTGGCAGCAATGAGTGTTCCCTGCTGAGTGCCAGCAACTTAATCTGTGCCGACTGCATGTGAGGGCTGAGCGTGGGGCTGGTTTCCTTCCTGGCCAAGCAGAGGAGCAATGTTTACTGAGCCTAGGAGTGGGTTCCTTTGGACTGTGTCCTTGCATGGCCCATTGGGATGCTTGCTGGCATTGGGACACTAAAGCTGTTTGTGGTGTTTTGTCTCTATTAGCAGAGATCTGTTACTCAGCTGTAATTCATTGTGGCAGAGAAGAGGATTAAAAGCAAATGTATAGTTATTATTCCAAATTTATGTTGGCTTGTGCAGGGTACCAGAGTGTGGGGGTGTCAATGCCCACCCAGATAGCTTGCAAGCCCTTGGCTGGCAGCCCCCTCGAGCCCGGCTGTCTCCCCACCAGCGACACCTCCACCCACATGGTACTCTCCAGTTGCTCCAAGGAAAAATGACCTCTTCCCTCTTGGAAGTATTTAGGTGGGCTTTAGCATCTCCACCCTTTGGTGAGAGCAGTTGTTGCTTTTTGCTTCTGTGTGGGTGATGTCCCTGTCGGGGAAGATATTTGGCTTGGGAATCAGCTCACTCACTGGAGCTGCTGGCACTAAACCCACAAGCTATGACATTTCTGCCTGCATGATCCTGGGCCTGGGAGCATCTCCATGATTTTTCAAGCCTTTGAGCCTGCCTAAGTGGAAATTAATTTTTGTAAAGAATTTTGGCAATTCTACTACTAGGACTAGGAGGTGCCAAGAAATAATCCAGAGCCCCTTTAGATTAACTTGTTCTTAAGCTTAAAATGTGCCCTGGCTATGTTCCTGCCAGGTCAGTATGGGCTTGTATTTTGGTTTGTTTGTGCTTTGCCTGTGTTTTGGATTGCCTTCCTCCCTGCTGGGATTCAGGGCTGCATCCGCAAGGAGATTTTGGAAGGACAGTGTGTACCGTATCTTTTCTGTGAAGAGATGGTGGTTGATGTTGCCAGCTCAGGATGCAATTGTTGTTTGCAATGGACTTGGTAACCTTCCCCATCAGTAACACGTGACTTCATTTCCAGGAAAAGAGGCATCCCTCTCCCTGGCAATACTGTTGAGGAGCTCATGAAGTATATCAGCTATGACACACCACTGACACTTCCTCAATTTCTAGAGAAATTTAATTACTACATGCCTGCCATTGCGTAAGTACTCTGCTTTTTGCTTCTTCCCCCTCAACCCTTGGCAGGGTCTCTTGGCTCAGCTGGAGATCCCCCGTGGGTGCTGAGCCCTGGTGATGAGTGCCACTGCCATCCCTGCAGGGGTGACCGTGAGGCAGTGAAGAGGATTGCCTATGAGTTCGTGGAAACGAAAGCCAAAGAAGGAGTCACCTACGTGGAGGTTCGGTACAGCCCTCACCTCCTGGCCAACTCTGGCGTGGATCCCATCCCCTGGGGCCAAGCTGAGTGAGTGATCCTGCTGTGCTAGGGAGCTGGTGGGTGGCTGGTCAGGTGTGGAGAAGGCATGGCCCACACCAGTCAGTATGTTCAAAGTCTGCTGTAACCAAACCTCCTTTCTCCTCCCACACACCAAGGACTGTCATGCTTCCACCTCTCTTCCCCATCAATAGGGTTTTATCATCTTAAATATCTCTGGTTGCTGCTGTTTTCATGTCCCTTGCTCTGGGCACAGGATTCTGCATGTGCAGAGCAGCTGTGCTTGACCTTCTGAAGCTGTTCTGTGTGCGAGGGAAAGAAGCACTCAGATAGGGACTGCCTGCCCACAGAATGGGAATTTGAGCATGCAGAGGCAGTGGGTGTTGTTGGAGGGGGCTGGAGATCAAGCCCTTCCTTGCTTGTCATCCTCTCTGTGATCTGTGCCTCTCATTAAATCAGTACTGGGCTCTGTGGCCCTGCCAAAGTGTGCTGTGGTGGGTGTTGAGCCCTGTGCTGGGCACTGCCTGGCTGCAGGCAGTTGTCTGCCCTAATGTGATCCTCTGGCAAAGAGGAGATTCCTTTGCTTGGGCAGGATTGGCACCCAGTTCCCCAAGGCCTTTCTAAATCTTACTGTCATCTTTGCATGCTTTTGTGCCTAGCACCTGGTAAATGTGGGCATAGTGTGGGTGTAAAAGATGCTTTTAAGCTCTGGGTAGTTTCATGGGGCACCTGTGAATGTTCAGGTGAGTGGGAACCTCGGGCAGCCTGGGAGGGACTGACCTCGGACAACATGGGAGGACAACCTCCCATGAGGATGCTGAGCTGGACCTGAGGCTCCTGCCTGCCTCCCTGGCAGGTGTCCAGCCTCTTGCTGATGGCTCTTCTTCCCTGCAGGGGAGACCTCACTCCAGATGAAGTCGTTCAGCTCGTAAATCAGGGACTCCAGGATGGAGAAAGGGATTTCCACATCAAAGCCAGGTCTATTCTATGCTGCATGCGCCATATGCCAAGTAATGTATTGCAGCTCCCCTGCTGCTCTGCTCCCCTTCCCTGACGCGTGTGGGGGGTGATGTCCTCTGGGTTTGGGGCCCTGCAGAAACGTGGGGAAAGCCCCAGTCTGTGGGTCTGGGGCAGGAAAGCCCCAGTCTGTGGGTCTGGTGGAGGACCAGGCAGTGCTGAGGAGGAGTTTTTTCTTGGTGGGGTTCCTCTGCTCCCTTCACTTGGGGGAAAAGATCTGCTGGATGTGAGAGCAGGCATCTGTGGGTCTTGAAAGGTCTTGCTAGAGAGACAGAACAGGCTCTTCTGTCCCTTCCTGGGGGAGCTGAGGTCTCTGCTCCCTGCCCAAAGGCCAGAGCTCCCCTTGGGCCAGTTAAAGCCACTGGCACAGCAAGCAATGACTGCCTGATGGCTCTGAGAACAAATGACCAGGCATGAGATCTCACACTTCCCTGCTCATGTCCTGCTGCTGCAGCACTGTGTTCTTTCCTTATCCTGGATCATGGGGCAGCCAGACAATCTGCTGGCTGCAGTCAGTCTCTGCTGGCTTGAGCTGAAAACACAAGTCAAATATACTTAAGACACATATGTAAAATATCTTCATAAAATCAGCAGCTCTGAACTTTGTTGGTAAGAAGTGCTGTGACCCAGAATAGGCAGAAACCCCAACTTCCAGCATTTCAATGGGCTGCTGAGTTCTCTGTGCATCCAGGAAAGGATGCAGCCAGGACAAGGCTGTGTGACAGTAGCTGTTCTGCGTGAAGACTTTGTTCTGAGTATCCTCATATCTCACACCAGTTTTATGTAGGCTTAGATGGTGGAAAGATTTTTCCTAATGGTTCATTTGTGTCTAGAAATGTGAAAAGTTACATTCTCAGAAACTGGGAGATTTGAGAGTGTTTGTTTGGTTTTTTTCCTGCCTCCACAGGAAAAAAATACTTTTAAAATTTGGTCCTTACATTTCTGGTTTCTAGGAAGAAAATGTTTTTCTTTGTAGAAACCAAAAAGCTGTGAGGCACAGGCACATTGATCTGCACTTGCAGTCCCTGCCAGCACACCAGTGCTAAAGGCAGGAGGCAGTTGGAGCATCCAAGGGCACGTGCAACATGCATTTGCACTGCAGGAGGGATTGCTTGTGCAAACAAGAGTTGGCATTCTCATACCTGTGTCCTAGGGCACCAGCTGTTAGCCAGAGCTAGTGATTTGCTTGATAGGGTCTTTAATGCTGCATTCTGGATGTGGTGCACAGTGTAATTACACCTTGTAATTAATGAACTGTCAAAAGGCAGAGATGCCAGCCAGAACTAGCTCATATTAAACTTGTTAATAAAATAATGGCTCTAACCCTGCGAGTTGGAAGCTGATGAAAAAAAAAAGGAAGATGAAGTTGCACACATCATCTTGTGTTCATCTGATTTGGGGATTGTATGTACACAGCAGGTGCCTGTTAATTATTAACACTACCATTTATCTCTGTTTCTTGGCCTTTCTGCTAAGGTTAAGTGCTATGTGAGGTGGTAGATGCATGTCCTTTCTCAGAGGTTATCTATCCTGATCGGAGAGAGCTCTGAAGTAGTTTGTCAGCCACTTGTTACTCTTTCTCATTGATGCAAAAAAGATAAAGATTCAGCTCCTTCCCACCAGGAGTAGAATCCATCATCTTGCCCAGAGGAGTTGAGGATGCCCTACAATAGTACAGGGCCCTCCAATGATCCCTCCTGGCCCAAACTCCAATAGGAGTTTGGACACAACATGTCTGATAGGCCATTTCTTCCCTTTACCCCACCCTTGCCCATCCTGGGATGGCATGAAAGCTCAGGAATGAGTTGAGGTATTTCTCTGACACACCATGTTACAGCCCCAGGGCTGTGTACTTCATCTCACCTCGAGCCACCTGCAGCAATCGTCACTGTTCGGAGATTTATTTTTTTCCCTCCTGCTCAAAGTGAGCAGAAAACCATGATGAGAGCAGTTTTACAGCTGGCAAATGCATTTGACTTCCTTTTCATTGACAACAGACTGATCAGTTGAAAGTTTTTATCTGCCTGAAGATGACAGACCTTTCTAGGAGCTTGCTAGCTTTCTTTTTGAGCATCCAGTTTTAGGAAAGACCAAAGGAAATAGCATTAGCCTTCTAGTTATTTGTTCAGAAAAATGGTGAAGGTGTGACTCTTCTGAATGCTTCCTCCTGAATCCTGGGCCTGTCTTTTCCAGGCTGGTCTCTAGAGGTGGTGGAACTCTGCAAGAAGTATCGAAATGACTCTGTGGTGGCTGTCGACCTGGCTGGGGATGAGTCCCTGAAGGTGGAGAATTACTCTGAGCATAAGAAGGCTTATGAGGTTTGTGGAATAAGCTTCTTCAAAGAAATTATAAGAAAAATATATATTGAGGGGATGTGTGTGAAGGGACAAGCAGCACATTTTTCCAACTGCAAACAGCTGGGACAGCTTAAAAATTTGTTGCAGCTATTAAAAACATTCAGTTAAATGGCAAAAGTATTTGTTTATGTTTCTTAAATGATTAATGGCAGGCATCATTGCTTAAACATGGCCTTAGAGCTGGGGCTTGGCATGCTACCCTGCAGCACTGAGCGTGACACAAGTGACTTGGAGCTCATGTCATTCCTTCCCTCTGTTGTTGGCTGGGGTCTGCTCCTGGGGCTTGCTGAAACCATGGCCAAGGGTGGAAGAGACTGGCCTTTCCAGTCTGGCAGAGATCACCCGAGGAGCAGAGAAGAAGCTGCACATTTGAAGGGCTTTTATCTGATCATCTCAAAAGCAAACACTGGAATGGCTTCAAGGAGCCTGATCACAGACTCTCACTAGATCTCAGCCTTTGCAGTGGCTCAAAGAGAATGCCTTGCTCCCCTTTGTTGGGAATCTTTTGCTGAGTTTAGGGTTGTTGGTCCCTTCCATCAGTGGGAGGAGGTCGTGCACCATCACTGCTAAAAGGGACAGTGGTTTGCAAGCAGTGCTCAGGTCTGAAACACCTGCAGCTTCCTCAGGGTCTTTACCCCATCAATCTGAGATGATGCAAGGTCTGCCTGCACTGCTGTGCTGGATGAACCGAGTGGTTACAAAGTGAGACACAGGCATGGGGTTCTATTAAATGGAGGGCAGGTGTGTCTCATCCAGCAGCACCCAGGTCCAGACTCCTCTGTCTGAAGAATTCTTGTCTCCGTGCCAGGGGCTTGCTCAGCCTCTGAGATGCTGAAGCAAACCCTGCTCCTGTCTGTATAAAGGAACTTTTGAAAAAGCTCATGAGTGCAAAGCCCTGAAGGACTGTCTGTGAAGAACTGCGAGACTGGACTTGCAGCCTGCCTGCTGCTGTCAGCTGGGTGGCCCTTCTCCAGCAAGGCAGGAGTCAGGATTCCCTCGAGGCTCCATGGCTTCCCAAAGCCCAAGTGGCCTGTGGCTACCTTAGCAAGAGACTTTTCGGGATGGCCATGGAGAGCATTTCAAAATGCCCCCAAAGCTGCACCACAGAGTGCTCTGACTAGACTGCCTCCACTCCCAGCCCCTTACAGAAGGGAGGTGCTTGGTGTAAGAGCATTTCTTCATATCTGCCCTGGGGTGCTTCTGAATTCTCCCATGTGGCTTCATCTAGCCAAAAATACAGAAGTTCCAAAGGCTGGAACTGCTGCAAGGTTCATGGAGAAGGACATGTGGGTGGAGGAAGGAGTGCTCAGAGCTTGCTGCTATCTGGAGGGGAGGCAGTGGTGAGCTCACCCAGTATTAAAAGTCCAGGAGTAGCCTGACTGGGCTCTAGTGGAAGGTGACCAGGATTTCTAAGTGACTCTGTATGTGGCATTACTGAGCTCTTTTGCAGTGCACTTTTTGAAGTGCAGTGCTCATGATCTGAGGGGTCTTGACACAGAGGTCTGTTGCTTGCTGTGTCCCCATAAGCAGTGCCAGTCCAGGAGTTTGCTGACCTTGCTGTGGATGGTGGAACAGGAACATGTTCTCTCTTGTTTTCCAGGAAGCTGAGAGATGTGGAATTCATCGCACTGTCCATGCTGGGGAGGCTGGCCCAGCTGCCATGGTCAAGGAGGTACGAGGAGTTCCCAACTCAGAACAGAGAGAGGGAGCAGGGGTGGGCAGTGCCCTGCATCCCCTGGACTGGGGAGGGAAGTACGTGGGACTTCTTCATACTCATAGCAAAGCCAACACTGGGGACCTGAGCAGAGATCTGGGCCCAACAGCAAGAGTCAGCTCAGTGGCATGGGCTGTACCCATGGTGGGGCAGGGATCTCTGGGCAGGCAGGAGCTGAGCTGGTGCTCAGAGGCTGTGCATGGTTTTCCTGTGCTCTCTAGGCAGTTTATGTCCTCAAGGCTGAGCGTGTTGGCCATGGATACCATGTCGTGGAGGACCCTGAGCTCTACAAGGAGCTGCTGAAAAAAAATATGCATTTTGAGGTAAGGATGTGTGGTGGGAGCGTGACAGCCAGGTAGCTGCTGTCTGAGTGGAAAATCAGCCCTCACTTGGGCTGTGCTACAGCCAGAGACATGACCTGACACCCAAGTGGTGACCATGTGCACAGTGACCTTGTGTTGAACCCGGATGCCTGAAGCTCCACAGGAAAAATGGTGGGGACACCTGGCTGTTTGCTGGGACCTGCTGCAAGGAGCACCAGTGCACACAGCAGCTTGCAGGAGGCATGTAGCAGAGAGAATGGATCCTGGTCTGGCTGCAGATCAATTCTGGAGGGCTTATTCACTAATTTATATACCTCAAGCCTGCAGGCTCCTCCTTCCACAAATCAGGCTGCTATACTGGAGTGAGTCTGGTTAGAGGGTGGAGTTACTGTGCATGGGCAGATTTCCTTTACTTTTACCCAGAATAGACATATCCAACTAATAGATGGAATATATATGCATATACTTAATGCCAGTGGTTTCCTGACTGTGGTTCCCACATGGCTGGTGGCTGACTGGCCATGGGAAACATCCTACTGGCTCCTGCCTCTGTCGTGTGGGCTCCTCACATCTGTGTCTCAGGATATGCACTGGTCTATCGGAGTAGCACTGAGGGGCAGCTGTGAACAAAGCTCTAAGCCTGTATCTGGGTTTACCAGCATGCTGAGCTATCTGTGCCCTCAGCTGGGGCTGAGATATACATGGTTGATTCTGGTTTTCATGCTTAACTCTCTCAAACAGGTCTGCCCTTGGTCCAGTTATCTCACTGGAGCATGTTCTCCGGACTTCAGCAAACACCCCGTAATACAGTAAGACTTCTCAATTATCTGCAGTCTTAAATAATCATAATTTGAGTTGATTATAGCTGCTTTATTGCTTTACAAAGGTAGTGCATGTCTAATTATGTAGGACAATGTGGCATGTCCTTGTCCTTTGGCATGAGGAGGTGTGGGAGTCCCTTGGGGAGGCTGCTCTGTCCCTCCTGCCCTGCTCTGAGCTGTGGGACATGAGATGCTGCACCCCAGCCACTAGCCCTGGTTTGTGGGCAAGGGCTGAGGCTGCTGGACCTGTGCTGAACCTGCTCGTTGCTGCACCAGAGACCCAGGTCAGTGCAGAGCAATGGGGAGACAAGCTGAGCCTATGTTTGTCTGCAGCAGTGCCAGTGCAAGGACAGCCCCAAGGTCTTTGCTTTTACTGCATTTCACCCTGAGAACTGCACAAAGAGTGTTACATCCAGTGCTTTGCCCACCAATTCAACCCAATTTCCTTACAGATTTAAGAAGGATCGTGCCAACTATTCTCTGAACACAGATGACCCCCTCATCTTTAACTCCACCCTTGACAAGGATTACAGCATAGTGAAGGAATACATGGGCTTCACTGAAGAGGAGTTCAAGAGAATCGTAAGTCAGCCTTGGCTGGGTGCTCTGCTGGTGTTCTGGTGCAGCCCAGAACAACCTGCTGATTTTAATTTATAAGCCAAAGAGTTTTTAATGGAAATCAGAAAATGATGCCCTGGCCTTGTAAGCAGGAGACTGAGGTGGCTGCTGAGTTGGCTGGAGGGGGGTGCTGGAGCACTGCAGGCAGCAGGGTATGAGTGCAAGGTAGGCTCTGAGGGGCTGCATCACCCAGGCTGACTGCCTTGGGCGTTATGGGGAACAGGTCAGAGTGGTGAGTGGTGAGCAGGTTGAACTGCCCAGCCAGGCTGTGTCCCATCAGGCTGCAGCCACTGCTGTGTCAGGGGAGGCTCTTGTCCAAAGAGCTGGGAGCGAAGGAGCAGGTCTAAAGTGCATACCCCCAAAATTCCAAAGTATTTAAAGACCTTTGATTTGAGCCTGCCTCGTTCCTCCTGGGACTGCTGCTAGTGATGGGCCAGAGCAGTTGCCCTTTAAAACAAGGCCATGGAAATGAATCTGAGAGTGGAAACTTTACACCCTTCCTTGCCTGTTGCTGCTCAGAACCAGATGTTAGGATGTGCACAACCACATGTTCGTGTCTGATGTGCCTTAGTATCTCTCTTGTGTTCCCCTTCTGCCTCCACAGAACATCAATGCAGCCCAGTCCAGCTTCTTACCTGAGAAGGAAAAGCAGGAGCTGCTGAACAAGCTGTACGAAGCCTATGGGATGGTCCCTAACGCATCGTGACCTGTCCCTGTGAGACAACCTGGAGCAGGGGCCTTTCTCCATGTGTGCTTGACTCTCCTCTGTGCTGGTGGGAGCACCAGGAGGAGGTGCCCAGAGTCGGTTTCTACTCCTGGCAGCCCTGTGTTAACCCTTACAGTGCTAATCAGAATCAGACTATCATATAAACCTACCTGCACCCCCACCAACTCTCTCCCAAATGGGCATCCATCCAGCTTCCTATTCTGCTGTTGTGCAAGCAGACTGGATCTGCCTGCTGGCCTGACTCCCTTCTCCATCTGCTGGTGTGTCTATACTGCAAATGCAAATAGAAGAACCTCTCCTGTTCCCCCCCCCCCCCTTCACCATTTATTTTTCACCTGTCCTGTCTGACTGACCTACCGGCCCCTTTTCTGCAGTGCTGAAATAACCACTTTAACTGTGGCCTGGGTTAATCTTCACCTTTCCAGGCAGGAGCTGGCAGGGAGCAAGCAGGTGTTTCAGACACAGAGGCTTTATTCTTGTCTGTGTGGGTAGGAGAGTTTGATCACAGCTGTATTTACCTAGGGTTAGTCTTGGGCTAACAAGACTGGAACAAGAACAAGCTGGAAGCTGGTGCCACTGCCCATGCACTGGTCTGAAAGGCATCTAAAACAAAACACAATTTTGGCATTCTTGAACAAGACCCCAATATATCAGGCCTCCCAATGTCACCTTGGGCTCACGCCCCAGCTGTGCTCACAGCTGGCCATTACCATGCTTGCACATGCATAGGAAGTTGGAATATAATTTTACCATTTTGGGCCAAAATCTGCCTTCTGGGGCTTTTCCCAGTTTTGTATTCATCCTGGAGAATTCCTGTGAGCTGCAGTTTGATCTTCCTCTATCTTTGTTTAGGACTTGGGAAACTTTGTATTCATCCTGGAGAATTCCTGTGAGCTGCAGTTTGATCTTCCTCTATCTTTGTTTAGGACTTGGTCATGACATGATCAGTTGCCTCATCTAACCATTCTGCCCTCTTCCTGGTTTGACATAATCATTAGGCACTCTTAAGGCTGGAGAAGTAAATTAACTAGCTAGGGCCCAATGTCACATGTTGACTCAGGCCCCATCTGATTGCCCCTCTCACTCAACTGTGACACTGGCTAGAAGTCAGGTTTTCAGTTTGGTGGAGAACTTATACAGACAAAATTCACCAAAAATTCCGAAGTGATTTTGGTGCATTATAGTGTTTTTACTCAATAAGTAATAGAGCTGTGCATCCAGAGAAGAGACCATCATTTTCTTACGTGAGTGTGTGGTGTGCTTTAGCATCCCAGGTGTCTGCCAAGATGCTTACTCCAAAGATACTGTACCAAAAAGTTGCCTTTGACAAGGGGCTGTGGTCACCACTACCACGGACAGACCACAGACTGGTCCAGTCTCAGCCAGCAGCGATTGCATGCTGAGAGTATTTCCATTCTTTCTGGGCTTCCATATTGGTCTTCTGAGTGAAATACTCATCTCTGAAGTACGTGGTGCATATATACACATAGATAGACAGATGAATATGCGAGAGTGATTTTCTTACTTTTATAAAGCAAATGATAAAACACTTTTAGGAACAAGAATGCAGTAAAGAACAGGCTTTTGGGGGATAATTTTTCTCCCAAAATTGTTTCTGAAGGAGTTGCTTGTTTGGATTCTGGACAGTTGATTGTTAATCCTGTTTAATAAAATAACAAATTTATATTTAAAGATAAATCTTCTTGCCTTTCTGTTCAAGGGGGACACAGGAACTGTGGCCTATGGTCTATAGCATGAGCCCTGGTACCCCTGCTGGAGTATGAGGGTTCATTGATAGGTGTGATGGAGGCTCTGGCAGCCTGATTCCTGCCTTTTCCTGCTGCCAGGTTGGAGCACTTTGACAGCCAGAGGGAAGCCTGCTCCCTTGCCAGAGGGGCAAGTTGAATTTATGGATGCAGGTTGTTCCATCCTCCCGTGTCCTTTTCCCTGCAGTAATCAAAGGGATGTGTACCACTGCTAGAAGCAGCAGTGCCATCACTGTGTACTCACTTTTTCCTTCAAAGCCAGTTCACAATTTTTTCCTGTCTCCTGGGTTTTGCACAGTTGGTTGATGCTCAGAGCCAGAAGAGGGGCAGCCTGGGCTGCCTGGCTGCAGCATCAGCCTGGGCACTGGAGTGTTTGCTGAAAGACATTTGGATTGTTTAGTACTTGGTTGGAGTTTTGAGAGGCCTGGCATGCCCCTGTGCTCAACTGAAGTGAGGGGCTCAGAGCATCCCTGTGCTCAGCAGCTTTACCAGCCAGGATGTGGCTGCATTAAGCCAGTGTCCTTGGTCTTTCAGCACAACCAGCGCTGGCAGCTGAGCTGGCTCTCCCTTGGCAGGGGGAACCCGATGCCTCTCGCCTGTCCCCTGAGAAAGTAGCTGGCCAACAGGTCCCTAGTCTTCTGCCTAAATATAATTCTGAAATAGATATTTTCTGCCCAGGGAGAGCTAAGATTAGCCTGCGTTTGACTGCTGGAGGTCTTGAGTGGCGCATGGTCCCTCCGCACTGCCTTTCAGTGTGTCAGCAGGAGCCAAAAATACTGTTCCGTGGTGGTGAGGAGAGCTGGAAATGGGGCTTAAAGACACAACTATGCAGTCAGCCAAGCCCAGGAGCTACCTGCTGGTTTGCCCCCAGGCACGGGAAATGGGAGCAGGCTCTTGGCTGCTGTCCGGGCACAGCTCTGCAATAGCAACCAGCTGCTCCGGGAGCCCTTTGTCAAAGCAGCAGCCACTACCTGGCTGCCAAATCCTCGTTTCCTGTGGGGGCTGGAGCCATGGACATGACTGCTGGCCCTGCAGCCATCACTTCTCAGAGACCCACAGACAGTTCTCTCTCTGTCTGGCAGCTGCTTCTCGGCTTATTTATGGCCTTGTTTTCCCTGATAAATCTCAAGCTTGTAACATTCAGTTCTTCCCTAGGCTGTCAGGGTGATGCTTGCCCTTGTGTCACAAGTGGGGAGTATTTCCCAGGCCAGCTCTGCCTTGTCCTTGTGCTGGCTGTCAGTCCTGGCCAGGCTGCTCCGTCGGGCTCGGCTCTGCCTGGGCTGGGTGAAATGCCAGCAATGTGCCCATAGCTCTGTCCTGCAGAGGGAAGATGCCTCTTCCCACTGGAACCAATTATGCTCATGTCTAGGTCACTCCAAACCAAGCCAGATTGTGCCTGACTCCTGGGATAGTAATGTGGAGGGGAGCAATACTCCACGGGTCCATAAAACACCCGTGGGAAAAGCACTGCTTGGCAGTAAACCTGGGAAAGCAGGGGCAGATTTCTAGAAGTCTCTGTGCCCAGCTATATCTGCCTCCACCTGCTGCAAACCTGTGGTGCTTCACAGACCCAAACAGAGAAGACTCTTGTAGCACAGCTCCATTTCTCTGTGAAACCACCCTGCAGCCCAAGGCAAAACAAAGGAAAAAGAAACAGGCAGAAAAAACCCACCTTCAGTACTTGAAGGCTGTAGTATTTATTCCAACAGCTTGTATAGTTTTATCAAACCATCTTTAACACAAAACATGTCTCCTAAAAGAGAGAATGGTGTGAGATCCTACCAGAGATCATCTCAGCTAACAGCTTGCAAAGTTAAGCCTGAATTTCAACAGTCAAACCAGCAAAATGCTTCTCCCCTCCCCTTAACAACATCTTACAATGCTAAACCCAAAGAAAAAGATGCCTGTGGCTGGTGCTGCTGTGTCTCCAGGTGAGGCTCATCCCCACAGAGCTGTGCTTTGGTCCTTTCCTGATGCTAAGCAGCAGCACAGGTGAGTGGTGTTGACACGAGGGCAGTGGGACTGGGCAAGTCCCTTTCACACTGCCCACCCTGACAAGGGGCCACATGGACAGTCCAGAGGCCACATCAGGTCTAAGATGCAGATGAGGGTGAGGATTAGAAAAACCAGTAATCTACATTTCTAATCTATGGAAACAGAATAAATAATAGTCTAAATTTGCAAAGGATGAAGGTACCTTGGACAGGAAAGTCTGATGTGTCTATTATTACTGAAATTGGTTTTCCCCCTAAGGGAAAATTGCAGCTAAGGCATCTCAAGAATGGCTCATATCACTACAACCATGGCAGTGTTGCTCTAAATCATTAGGGATGGGGGCAGAGAAGTCTTTTGGAGGTGCCAGTCCTTGCACAGCATCTTGTGGCTCTCTACACAAACATGGTTGCAGCAGAGGCATTTGACAGACAACTTGCTGTTCCAGGTTGGTTTTGTCCACAGATTCAATAGCAAACTCCTGTGTCACATTCACAGCAAGGCCCTCCTCCTGCCCATCCCACCCCCTGTCCGCTCTCATGGGGAGGGGCTGCCTTCTTGCCCCTTTGGTCTTGCTCCAGGGTCGTTGTCAGAAGAAGTGGCATCTCTTTGGCTTTCTGAGGAAGGGAGGATTGGGAAGAAAGCATAGTTACACTGCTGAGGACACAAGCCACCAGTAATTGCTACAGATGATTTTATTCACATTGCCACCTGAAGACTTATCACTCCCCTCCTGTGGCCAGGTACTTGGCCCCATCCCCGGGAGTGTTCAAGGCCATGTTGTATGGGGCTTGGAACAACCTGGTGTAGTGGAAGGTGTCCCTGCCCATGGCCCAGATGGTCTCTAATGTCTATTCCAAACCAAACTATTGATTCTTTGATGAAGAGTGGGTTCTCCCCTCACATTCCTGGAGTACAAACTATTCTCAACACATCTGGAGTTGCTGGGAGGGAGCCTCAGGGCAGGGATGTGCTCTCCTTGCCTAACTTGCAAGTGCTCCAGGACTGTCTGGCTGACAGCCTGGTAGCTGTCTGAGCTGCTCTCTGTTATAGAGTGCTTATTACAGATGGGTGGATGAACACATGCTAGTATGGTCATGTTGAAAGAAGTACAGTTGGGGTAACATGTTTTAAAATGTTTTTACAGTCACAGGTTGTAGGATTAAAAGAGTGAGGGCAAAAAACTGAGTTTCCCCTCTGCAGTAACACTCTATGTTGTGT